GGGGGGGCTGCTGTCCCCCTCCACGCGCGGTGACGTCCGTGGGGCCGCGGGGCCGCGTCAGTGCCCGGCGGGCGGCGGGGCTGGGGGGGCTCATTGGCATGCACGGCGCGCCCCCCGCCCGCCCCCGCCTTCCTGTGAGCGTGGGGCCGCCCCCCCCTCCCGATCCTGCACAGCCCGGCCCTCCTGCTGGGGGGGGGTCCTGTGCCCCCCGGGGGTCCCTGGGGGGATGTTCGGGGTGGGGGGGGCGGTGTGTGCTGCAGATGGAGGGGTTTGATTGCCCCCCCCCTCCCCGTTTTTAATTTTTGGGGGGCTTAACTGAGGTGGGGGTTGATCCAGGGGGAGACCCCTGAGGGTTTCCTTGACGCCCCCCAGAACCCCCTCCGAGTCCTCCACCGATTCTCCCCGGGGCACCCCCAAACCACTCTCAGCCCCCCCTGCATCCCTGCCCCCCCCAAACCTGCCCCTTAAAGAGCTTCCCTCCCCTCCATCATTCCCGGTGTGTCCCATCCCCTCCATCATTCCCGGGGTGTCCCGTCCCCTCCATCATTCCCGGGGTGTCCCATCCCCTCCATCATTCCCGGGGTGTCCCATCCCCTCCGTCATTCCCTCCATCATTCCCGGTGTGCCCCCCTCCCCTCCATCATTCCCTCCATCATTCCCGGTGTGTCCCCCTCCCCTCCGTCATTCCCTCCATCATTCCCGGTGTGCCCCCCTCCCCTCCATCATTCCCTCCATCATTCCCGGTGTGCCCGCCTCTCCTCCGCCATCCCCTCCATCATTCCCAGGGTGTCCCATCCCCTCCATCATTCCCTCCATCATTCCCAGGGTGTCCCCCTCCCCTCCATCATTCCCTCCATCATTCCCGGTGTGCCCCCCTCCCCTCCGCCATCCCCTCCGTCATTCCCGGCTGTCCCGTCCCCTCCGTCATTCCCGGCTGTCCCGTCCCTTTCCCGCACAGCGTGTCCGTGTCCGGAGGGGCCGGAGGAGGCGGGGGTGGACGCGGGGCTGGCGGCGGCGCGGGAGCAGCAGCTGCAGCGGGAGCTGGTGGCCCTGAAGCAGCAGCAGCAGCTCCAGAAGCAGCTGCTCTTCGCCGAGTTCCAGAAGCAGCACGAGCACCTCACCCGCCAGCACCAGGTCCAGCTCCAGAAGCACCTC